TTAGAGGTAGATCTCTTATTCCTGTTTTATGTGAAGTGGTGAGTGATAACATTGATGGATATTACCCATCCTCGCACTATCCCATATTTGCCGAGTTTATGCTTCCTCGCACGGTGAGAATGATTGACCCACCCGCTTCCGAGGGGAATTGATATGCATGTTTTGAACCGCCACCTCCCCATTTTTCTCCTCCGAGCACCGAAGGTCTAGTTCATAGTTGATGCGATTTAGATACTCATTTTATGTACAATTTTTTCTGACTTTTGATTGCCATACCGAGTTGTTCAATTTACTCGAAGGTGCATCGAAAGAGGTAGCAACAATTTTATTTCATATGTTTGACGTTTTGTACTATTGCTTTACCCTCAATTTTAATTGAATGGAATTTGTTTTATGTGCCTCACTCTACCATGACAAAGTATGGTGCCAGTTTACTGGAATTACGTTGGCTGAGTTGTTTGGTCAGTGAGAAAATTCCCCACTTAGAGGCAAACAAGTTTAGCCTGCTGCAGGGCAAGTTCTGGGGCAGTTCAAGTGAGCAACTCGGCGGACGGCCGGACGGCTGGATCCCATTTTCCTTATTTTATTTCTCTTAAAACAATAGTTAACACATTTTTTAGGGTACATAAGTTAATGGGTTGAGATGAAAGGTAACCGTTAAAATCCATTTTTGCGAGGAAGATGGAGAATTTTTGGCTTTTCTGTTTGAGAAGCAAAAGGTCTAGGGAAATCTAGAAGTATCATGACAAAGTTTTTGTTTTGGGTGAAATTAATCAAAGTTGAGGCAGCCAAATTTCTATCTAAAATTAGTTTTATAATTACAATATGATGATCGGCACAATATCAAACATAATACTAAATAGTCATGTTTTAATTATGTAGAGCACCAAACGTTTAACTAATTTAGTCAGTAACGACTAATTATTCTATTCAACTGAAATAATCAGTACAGTCCGAACTGCACATTCCATAAATTGAATTTTCAAATCCCTTGTAATTTATATATACAATACAAAGAATTGGAATATTTTACTAAACAGGGAGTGACGTCCAAACCAATGAAAAAAACTTGTAATCACCGTCAGTAAGTCAGTCCGTAAGTCCGTACGTGAAGTCCAAACCAATCGTCACCGCACATCATCCCCGCGAAAAAGATCCAATGGTGATTTCAGAAGATTTCAAATGGTCAGCCTTGTCTTGGAAATCCCAACCATTTTGTTGAGAGAGAGAGAGAGAGAGAGAGAGCGCTTTATCGTTCTTCTCTTTGTTTTTAAAGCAAACAAAAAACCAACCACCGAGTGATACATTGATTTGATAAAATCGTACCAACACACACCCAGTCCCTGAGTTGCAGAGAAAGAGAGAGAGAGAGAGAGGGGAAGTGGATCTAGATCTTGTGGGAAGAAGCCATGGCGAGAGGACCTCTCGCTTTTCAGCTATGGATCTCTGTCTGTCTTTTGTTCTTCTTGCATGCTCGCTGCTTCTACCTCCCGGGTGTCGCCCCTCAAGATTTCCAATACGTCAGCACCTTCAACTCTCTCTCTCTCTCTCTCTCTCTCTCTCTGTATTAATAAATGTATATGTATATATATATGTATATTTGTATATGTTAAACCTCTGCGTATAATTGAATGTAATGTATGCCATGGCAGTTTTTTAGTGCATGTTCTTATTTACAGACAGATCCGTATACAATTTTGCATTTGGGTGCTTACAAGTTCGAGTCTTTTGGCGAAAGCTTTTATAAATTTGCCATCTTGTGACTCAGGTCGTGAGATCTACGTTCAATTTGCTGCATTTCTGCATGTTTTTGGCTTAAAACGTTGTGAATCTCTGTTGGCTTCTTATGTTGCGTGAAATATGGATTGAAATTACTGTTTTTTCGATTGCAACAATGCGATATAACATGCACATTTACAAGTACAGTTCTAAGTTTTTAATTTTTTTCGTGTTCTCATTTGTCCGGTAAGTGTTAGAGCTTGTATTGTCGTCCAGATTGTAAAGATTTTTCAGTTTTTGGGGAAAAGGAAAATTTTAAGGTCTGCTGATTCAGCTTTGAGGTAGTGAAATCCTTTCTCAACTAGGCAATTGAGGAAGAAACGATAGAGTATGGATTTAGTAACGTATAGAAGGGCTCGAAAGAAATCATTTAAGACTTTTACAATGGATCTAGTAGGTCTCATAATTTAATGAACGAGCTTCGTGATGTAGATCGTTTTGCTGTCTAATGGCGTTGTATTCACACTGTTTACCATTGTATGTGCAGGGAAATCCCTTGAATGTGAAAGTGAACAAATTGACCTCTACAAAAACTCAACTTCCTTACTCGTACTATTCCCTCCCATACTGTACCCCGGAGCATATAGTAGACAGTGCAGAGAATCTTGGGGAAGTTCTCCGTGGTGATCGCATTGAAAACTCTCCTTACGAGGTAGAGTAGCTTAAAGTGATATTATTGCTATGGTTCTGTTGTTCATCACTTTGGTTATTGAGCCGCTAAGGATTTTATTCTATCTTTTGTTGCAGTTCAAAATGAGAGAACCACAAATGTGCAATGTTTTATGCCGTGTAGTTCTTAATGCAAAAACTGCAAAGGAATTCAAGGAAAAGATAGATGATGAGTATCGGGTGAATATGTGAGGCACAAATTCTGAATACCATGCATTTGAATCATATGATCCTGTCTGATGTGATGAACAATTGACTTACATTCTGATACTTTTTCCAAATTACAGGATTCTGGATAATCTCCCTCTGGTTGTCCCTATACCAAGCCTGATCAGGAAAACGCCTTAGTTTATCAACATGGGTTTCATGTTGGTCTTAGAGGACAATATGCTGGGGTAGCTGTTGCCTGTTTGACCAATTAGCATTCTTTGCGTCATCTTAATTCTTTTGTTGATGTGCTTATTGAAGAGTTCTGATTTTTCCGTTTTCCTTTAAACATTTATAGAACAAGGATGAAAAGCATTTTATCAACAATCACTTAACATTTACAGTCAAGTATCACAAGGATCAAATGACAGAATCTGCCAGGATTGTCGGATTTGAGGTGAAGCCATTCAGGTATTTAGTTGTTATTCTTTTCTATCATAGGCTAATTAGTTTATTCTATCTCATCTCTCCAATGAGGGTTCAAATTACCTATATGATAGCGGACAAGTTTTTATTAATGCAGTGTTAAGCATGAATACGAAGGCGAGTGGAGTAAGGAGAAACGTTTAACAACCTGTGATCCCCATGCGAAACAAACAGTTACCAGCTCTGAATCTCCTCAGGAGGTTGAAGATAAAAAGGAAATTATATTTACATATGATGTTGAGTTCCAGGTTGGTGCCCTTGCCATTTCCTAGTAAATGACTTCTTTGTTTGCCGTTTTGAGTTGGGTTTCAGATTGGCTTTTGTTTAACCTCTAGGAGAGTGATGTAAAGTGGGCATCTCGGTGGGACACATATCTTCTGGTAGCGGATGATCAAATCCACTGGTTCTCAATTGTTAATTCTTTGATGATTGTTCTTTTCCTTTCGGGCATGGTTGCTATGATAATGTTGCGGACACTTTACCGAGATATCTCCAAGTACAACCAACTAGAGTACCCAAGAAGAAGCCCAAGAAGAGACAGGATGGAAACTGGTTCATGGTGATGTATTCAGACCTCCATGTAAACTCATGATCTACTGTGCGTGTATGTTGGGACAGGTGTGCAGTTCTTTGGGATGATTCTCGTCACCATGCTCTTTGCAGTCCTTGGATTCCTCTCCCCTTCAAACCGAGGTGGGTTGATGACTGCCATGCTCCTCCTCTGGGTCTTTATGGGCCTCTTTGCTGGATACTCTGCAGCCCGTCTGTACAAAATGTTTAAGGGAACAGAATGGAAGAAAATCAGTCTCAAAACAGCTTTCGTGTTTCCTGCAACTCTCTTTGCCATTTTCTTCGTCTTGAATGCTCTTATCTGGGGTGAGAAATCCTCTGGGGCAGTTCCATTTGGAACCATGTTTGCTCTGGTATTCTTATGGTTTGGCATTTCAGTTCCACTTATCTACGTTGGTGCTTATGTGGGTTTTAGGAAGCCGTCGATCGAGGATCCTGTGAAAACCAACAAGATCCCTAGGCAAGTCCCTGAACAGGCGTGGTACATGCATCCAGCCTTCTCTATCCTAATTGGAGGCATACTCCCATTCGGGGCCGTCTTTATTGAGCTCTTCTTCATCCTTACATCTATATGGTTGCATCAATTCTATTACATATTTGGATTCCTTTTCATTGTCTTCATTATCCTCATCATCACTTGTGCCGAGATCACAATTGTGCTATGCTACTTCCAGTTGTGCAGTGAAGACTACCTTTGGTGGTGGAGGTCGTACTTGACCTCAGGCTCCTCAGCGCTCTACCTTTTCCTGTACGCAGCCTTCTACTTCTTCACTAAGCTTGACATTAAGAAGCCAGTTTCTGGAGCCTTGTATTTCGGGTATATGCTGATTGCTTCCTACTCTTTCTTCGTGCTGACTGGTACAATCGGTTTCTATGCATGCTTCTGGTTTACTAGGCTCATCTATTCGTCAGTGAAGTTCGACTGATTTATAGTCCTAAGGTGAAGGAAACGATTCGTTTGTTTTTCCACGAGGAAGCACGAAATTCACTTTGACGGTACTTGTAGAATGTCCTTGTGGAGCTACCAACCTGGGTTCATTTTGAATCTAGAGTCATAGAAGTTCTTATTCTTAGCCTCTCTCTATACAGGTCCCTTTTTAAGCTCTAGTTCTTTTTGTTCATTTGTTCTTATAACATCGTCTTCGTTCTGTTCCATACGAAAACACAGAAAATTGAAAGCAATCTTCGTGCCATCAATGGCTCGACGGTGATTTGAGGAATGAAAAATGGAATTCCTGTCACTGCTGCGTATTGTTATATTTTCTTGTCAAATCTTTGGAGATTTGGCTCATCTGTTCTGTGATAAAAACTAAAAAGTACAAACCGTGAACACAAAATCGTTCTGTGAATAAAGATAAAAGGCAATGCATAATCTTCCAACCATCCCTAATGGAAAACAAGTGTATCAAACATACAATTTGAACATTTCTTCAAGTTCCAAGCTGGTATTTCTACATATTACATTGTTTGTGACAACCTAGAAAATAGACGCTGATCGGTATTTTGATCCAGTCATATAATGCCTCACAAATCAATCAGCACCTTCAGCGCTAAAATCGGGCTCCGGAGGCTTTTGTAGTTTGATTAATTCTCGAGCGCTCTTCAAATTCCTGTTTCGGTGGACACCACGAAGTGCATTTGCAGCAAACCTAGAAGCTAAAAATGTGGCACCAATGCTATATGAACCTCCAGCGTTGCTGCGAGCACCTCCCAAGGCTTCTGCTTCTGCTTCCTCTTCCTTACGACGAAGCTCCAAGATTTTCCTCTTGGAATAGCGACGCCATGCTGCTTGGATAAAGCAAGCAGCCCAAGTCCGCCATTGTTGTGAGTAGAAACGGAAGGTGTGCTGAACCTGTCTGCTGTGAAGGCGCCTAAACTGACTGGCAACAAATTTCAACTCTTCAGCTACAAGTGCAAAGGCCTCAACCTCAGTTAAAGCCTTAACTGTCCGAGTAGATGATGGGAGGTTGGCACCAGATTTGGGATCCAGTGCCCAAGTTAGAAGCTCCTCACCACAGAAATCACCTTCTTTCAGTAAACTTCGGTTAAAAAACCCACTCCTGCCACCATCTGTTGTAACACTCTCAAGGCGACCACGTATGATGAAAAGCATCTCATCGACGGGATCTCCTTCCCGAACTATGTAAGTACTCTCTGTGAATAAACTTGGTTTCAGTCTCTCACAAATGGCATCAAGCAACCTCTCGTCCATATTATCAAACAAAGGAACCTGCAATGACCGGCAAAGTGCAATTTATCTAATGATTCACAGTGGGACCAACCAACGTATATGAAACCAATTACCACTAGAAGAAACACAAAGAACAAAAGAATTACTAATCATACCCTCCTCACTAATGCCAAACAGAGGTGCCGCTTAATATCTCTCCTGAGATCCTTTGGTAGGCTCTGAACCAAACTCTGCTCGTCCACCCCGCGTGTTTCCAACCACTTATATTGATCATATCGCCTGACGCGTTCCCTAAGGTCTTGTGGGAGCAAGCGGTGATGCATCCACTGCTCTGAATCACGTCTTTTGACCCTCATCTCCTCAAGTCGAATAGTAAGAGACTGAAGATAGGTCTGTAACAATACCATAACACAGAGAATATTAGCGATATCAGATGATGTTCTGCTTTTCACGCTACATTACAAGCATCAACTGTTACTTCCAAGTTTACCTGCATGTTTCCTATCAAAAGTGCGAAGAGGATAAGTCCAAATATAGCCAGTGATATGGAAAATATAACCTCTCCAGGATAGGTGCTGGTTGCAAGACCCTGACCAAGCGTACTGTATAAAGAAGTCAGACAAAATGCTGTTAAAAGCGAAAACTTTAAAGCCTGCAAGAGGCGCAACGGTTTTGTAACATTATGTGAAACCACTACATAAAATAGATTGAACTTTATGACTAGGATCAGGAACATTGGTTATTTCAGACAACATCATTACCTTAAATTCTGTAGTCCCCACCATAAACAGTAACAGTACTTGACAATGAACTTCTTGGATGAAACAACCCCAGATGATAAAGCCGAATTAAAGATTCCAAAATCAAAGTAGGTATTATTGTCATCTGCCGAGCATTTTGATAGGATGTTTCCAGTAACATTGGACCAAGTTGCATTATCTAAATTGTTTTGGTTCCCGCAGTACAAGAGAGTTTTATCACATGGTTTTCCAATATCAGTACAAGCCATCTGCCAGCATGTATCATTGCGTTCTAAAGCTAACAAATACCAGAATGCCCCAACTATCTGCAAAGATATCATCCAACGGATAATAATTGCTCGCAAAGAAAAGTATAATTTCCATGTTAATGTATGACAATCAAAAGAAAAATAAGTACTTGATGAGTCTGATGACAACAATAACATTCAATGGAAAATAATTTGTATCAAATGTTCATATGCAAAGAAAGAAAAAGAAAGATGAATAACATACAGCAAGCAAACAAGGAACAAAACAGCAAGGGTAGAAACAAAATAGGTACTCACATGACTAGCGAGCATATATAATAGCAAATAGTATGCAGCACCTGCCCATGCAGTTTCAGCAAAGACGCCAGCTGTTCTTTTCAGTTCTGAAGTCAAAGGATAGACTCGAAAAAGTCTGGGAATATACTGAAATAAAACTATGAAAAGCAAAGCCTGTTTTGTAGCAAGCACATCTGAACCTTTGGACCTCTGAAGAAACCTCCAAACTACAATCTGCACAAATTATGGCCTTTTAGTGTTGCATAGAAAAAAAATATAGGCTTAACAGTTAACAGTTTCCTTTCAGCGTATTTTTCAAATCTTCTACTACAAAATACATAGAAACGAAAAGACAAAACAAAATAAGAGCCAAAACTATAGGAAAGCGGTATAGCCATGTGGAATAATTCAGGGAAACACACTCTTACCTGTGGTAGGGGTAGCACTGAAAGAAAATCAATGATGAAATAACTTCGTAAGTACCGCTTGGCTATTCGTGCTGGATCAATCACCAGTTCACCTCTTCCAAAAACCCGAGATGATGGAGCAATGTAAGCTGTTCTAAACTGGAGAGCCATGTGAATAAGATAGAAAGCATCAACAATCATCCGCAGTGTGGTTGCTGTGATAGCCAACCTTCGATCTATACCAAGACAATTTGATGAACTATTGATGACTGGAAGATAGAAAAACAGAGGGTCCACAGACACTGCCAGAATACATGAGATGACAAAAAATCTATTCCACAACAAGAGAAATTTGTCCTGAGGATCATATATCTTCTTGTCTGACCCTTTAAGATCTTCAGGGAACACTGCACGAGAAATCCCAAATCCAAGTGATCGGCCGATTGACTTAAGACCTTCAGACCCCTTTTTCATTCCTCTCTTAAAAGATGTATCCCTTGCAGGAGCAGTCCGGGTTAGTCCCTCAATATTAAACCCACATCTTCTCCCTCCAGAATCAGAAGGCGATGACAATCTAGAGTCCAAGTCATCCAGCCTAGAAAATCAATAAACACTGCCAATAAGCAGAACATTCGATGCCGTTCTACCAAATGACCCAAATCTTGTTTCAACATTATTAGAAACATATACGTTCAGCTTTCATCATAGAAAAGGAAGCATGAGGCACTGACCGGGAACTAATAATTATCCCACTAATTCATACATAATGCAACATGAATACAACAAAAACAACAAAGCCTTATCCCACTAGGTGGGGTCGGCTGTATGAATCCTAGAACGCCACTGCCCTTGGTTTTGTGCCAACTAATATTTAGAAGAAGAAAAGAACCTCCTTGAAAAGAAAAATGAAATTCCAAACATATTTATCATTAAGGCAAATTGCTAAACTATTTATTGGACTTTGAGACTACATACTTCCTAAAATTTAAGCAGACGTGACATCTCAACTAGTCATACAAACATGTAACAGATCGTTGTGAATCACTAGAACCAGATCTTTACATTTGGCAACGATTCTCCGGAAAAAAAATTTGCAAAATTTGACAAAGAAATATTATATTTGGTACCTCACAAACTTGTCTCTCTGGCCTCCCACGTACTGTGACTTGTTGTAACCACAATCCAACATCTTTACTCAATTAAACACATCAACGTCACCTGCATACCAAAATGAACATCCAAATTCGCAATGAACATCAAAATCATCATACTCAGTTCTAAGTGGCTTATAAACACCAACCGGAAAGGAAGTATGAATCTAAAACAATCCCCAGGTTCCAATAACATTTTTCCACCAAATGCTCAACCAAAATTCCATAAGCTAATAGTGTTGAAAAGATAACAACCCGATTTATAGTAAACGAATGTTTACGATTTGATGTAACCAAAAAATGGTAAGTTTGGTCTTCTTATAGCAAACAAATCGGCATCCATTGCTATATATCCTCAAATTATACAACTCAGATCCCTAGATAGTCAACAGTGCATAACTAAGCAGTCTAAAGCAGTATGAGTAAACATCTACTTAAACTTTTATCCATTTTTATCAGCTTAATCACCAAGAACAATCACTTGATCCTCGAAAACCTACTGTTTCCTGACGTTGACCAAATTAATTAAGAATCCCCCTCAAAAACCAATAAATTAAGAAACCACTGCAAATTAACCCAACAAAAAAACAAGCAACGAACCTTATTGAGCACCGTGGAAGAAGAACTGACATTTCCCTTAAGACGTGCAATCAAAATTACAGTAGTTTCAAATTTTGACAATTTTTTCTCGATAAAGGGAAGAACCCATATGATATGAATTCGTATCTTTGCAGAAATGATCGAAGCGTATGAGATTGGGAGAGAGAGAGAGGGAGAGAGAAGCAACTCACAGTAAAAGCAGGAGGTCTTAGATTTTCATTCGGCTGGTTGCCGCCAGCCACGGACAAAGAGATTCAGGTATATGGAACAACAACTGGGCGTCGAGATGTCACCACCGAGAGAGAGACTAATTCAGATATCTCTTCTTACCGAAATTGAAGAAGGTGAAAAAACCGAAGAAAGTCAATGCCGTTAATGGATTTAGTCCCAAAAATTGAAGATTCTTTAGGATTGAATAGAGAAATTTTTTTTAACTGTTCTTGAATTTTGGACTTCGTTTTGCTTTCTGAAATTTAATTTTTAAATCTTGCAGTAAAAAGTTGAAAATAAAAAAGCGTACATAAAATTGCTCTTACTATTCACTTTAAACTGTAATTATCTTCTTGTAAGTTCATTGTTTGAAAGAAAAGCAGATAAAAACAATGACAATTACTATTTGCAAATATATTTTTTATTTTTATAATGTTTTCTACCTTTTATCGCTACATGTCATTATTGCCACATATTTTTGCTTAATTTGCTATTGTGTTGAATTTTGTAAAAAAGTTGTGCGAACTTCATAAGTTTTTATGACTTGGATAAGACATCGGCCTAACCTACCCACTATATGTACTTAATTAACAATAATATCTGTTTATTTCCAAATTAACCTGTCCAAATGATCTTTTCAAGTAGGTTCATTGTTCCGGCCAAGAATACAACTAATCCCACATGGGACTACATGAGCCCCCACAAAAATAATTTTATAATTTTCGCCTTGTGAATTTCACAATGATTAAAGTACTGAAAGCATGGATGCGACTACATTCGACTACATTCGATCAGACAAAGATGCAAAGTAAAATAAAATCGGTCATTGTGAATAAATCGATTAACATGGATTGTTATCACCTTACTTATTATCATTGAATAAGTTCAAATTTTAAAATTTATCTACCACACGAATTTTAAAATTTAAACTTATCCAACAGCTATAAATAGGACGACGCGCATCTATTCCTCGTTAGAAAGTGAGATGTGAAAGTAGTCTCGTCTTAGCAGCATCCACGAAATATCTCCAAATTTGAAGCTTTACAATATAATAACATAATTACCATAAAAATTAATTTATAACCAGCTCAAAGGATCGGCATCTGAGATTTTCAACGTGGGAAGAGGATATTTCTCTTCAAAAAAAAATAAACAAAAAACAACGATCAAAACAAAAATGGCCTTCGTCTCCATTTTATTATCTAAACAGTTGAAGGCGACGCTGGTCAAAAACTCCCGGAACCTGGGGTCCGGCCAAGCGTCCGCTTCTGTGTGTCTACTGGGATGAAGACGTTTGCCGTAGGCGGCGCTTGCAAGTTTGAAAGTATGGGAATGGGACGGACAGCCTCAGGCAATGAGACGTTAAAAGCACGATAACTCAGATTCAGCTTTGATTTTGTTGCCCTGTATCATCAGCTATCCACAACCTAACAATGGGACAGCAAACACGAGTACCAAAAACATGTTAGTTCAAGGAATTTTCTACTATGTTACAGGTTATCCCATACATCGGAGCATGGTAGAATGTGAGTTCGAATATGTACAAGAGACCACGCATGTACTTAATATCTAGAAGCAAGCAAACCCGAACAGCATCAGGTGTAAGACTAAATTAATTTAACACGAGACGAAACCATCCACATGTAAATTTCAGATTTTTTCTGTACCACAGCTAAGTCTATACAGGTGACAATCAAACTTAAAGATGGTCTATATTGAATCTTATAAGTTTTTTCATGAGTAAATAACTAAATATCGAAGCAATTAACAAGCAAAGAGGCAATTCCACAAATGATTCATACCTTTCTGACTATATTTCTTCACTCCCACCGAAAAGAACCAAGTATCAAATCATAGAAACCAAACAGAACAAATGGCAGTAGACAGCTCAGCCTTGATGATCAAGTGCACTAGCGATTATGTTTCTGCTTTCCCTACACAGTACTTCTGTATCATTTCCTTCTATAGGTTTATGAATAACAACTTTAACAGCTCCAGTATTCAAGATAGTCTCCCTTCCCGGAGGCATGATCCTTCCGGTTCCTATAAGGGTAATTGGAACTACTGGTACCTTGGTTTTTGCTGCAAGACTGAAGGCCCCTCTCTGCATGTCAACAACAAGAGGAAACTGTAACTCCCAATATATCTTCAGAGGAGAAGCGGGGAAAGAGCCTCTTAGGAAATAAATTATACAAATGGTGCAACAAAAACTATGGATGAGATCAAACTAACTAAATCAATTGTCCATTATATGCCTCCGTAACCAACAACTGCAAGTTCCAGTCTGGTTACTTACAATTTTACATAACCATCCAAAAGAACAAAGAATCCTAAAAGATCTCACCTTGAAAGCACCTAATTTTCCATCTTTGCTGCGTGTTCCCTCAGGGAAGAAAAAGACAGAGGCCCCCTTCTTGATAAGATCTACGCAACTCTTAAGCATTCCTATATACAGAAGCAATCATACATTAAAACCATTGTTTAGATAATGATCAACATATTTAGATGGAACAAAGGAATTGGCATACCAATTGGCTTTTTCTGTCCATGCGCTTTAAAGGAATTACACCCATCAGAAACATGGCCCACCCAATAATGGGATAGAGAAATATGCTGGTCTTGCTGATAAACTTAAAGGGTCTCCCAATTGTGAAAAGAACATAGATGTCTAAAAAGCTCTGGTGGTTGGAAACATACACAGCAGGAGCATCAGGCGGAGGCAAATTCTCCAGTCCCTCGTACTTTATCCTAACAAATGGTGTAATCGTAGCAGTGGCCCAAATTTTGGCAATAAAAATATGAGCTTTTCTTTTGTATCGATCCAATAACAGCACAAGAGGATGGACTATCAGCATCAGCACAAAGAGATAAATGGCATTGAAAGCAGTAATGGCACAAAAGCCAATTCCCCTAACTCTTGAGACCATACTTACTTCTGCACTTGAAAATAAGAATGGATGTCAGTCAGATTTATAAGGCTGCTAAAGAAAGGAGGAAACAACAGAAAATCACTGGTTAGAGAAACCTGGTAATGGATAGCCAGCATCACAGGTTCCAGCTTCAGCAGATTGTACAACTGTATACCTGGACAACCGATTTTGGTCATGCAATCTAATATTACAATGCGGTCTTCCAAACTCCTCTTTTGCATCAAAGTCACACCACGATATGCTACCATGTTTCCTTTGAATGCATAAAACACTATGATGAGCCGCTGAGGAAGGAAAACAAAGAGGCATGAGATATTATAGTCCATTCACGCATAAAGGTACATTGCTTATAAGCCAGCATCACTCATGACATATTATACTGAGATAGCCTATACTTACAATGGCTTAAATTTCTCGAAATGGGCCATCTGCGAGGAGAGCACCCAATAGAAAGTCCCTTATAAGCAAACAGCTGCATTACAAATAAAAATGTCATAGCAGTTACAACATAAATAAATGGGACAGGGTCAGGATGGGTTTGTGCTGCTTCACACTTTTGTGCTTAATGAAGTCGATAGCTTGCAATACTACCTACAGGATTAATAAACAAAACAAAAAGGAAGACTTTTCAAGTACGGTAGACACTAGAGATTCCACATTGGATGAATGCCCTAAAGGAATGCTTACCAATGGCTAATTCTACAGTTGTGATGAGGGAAAGTCTAGCGTGCTGCACTGGCGTGTTAAATGCAGATAATTCAAATGCACATTTTATACACGGCTAACCTTGAAGCACATTCACCCTATTTGCGTACAATCACCTAAATGTTGAATCCAACGATTAGTAGCGACAAGGCATGCTTAATTGCAAAAATTAGATTGTCATTATACTATCTCAAAATTTTCAGCTAGTTCCTTAACCGCACTCGTGAGCACCATTTTCTTCATACAAAATTCTGATTAAAAGGACGCCTATCGAATCATCAAACTACTAATTCCGAACATAATTATAGATTAAAATTTTTATCTCACGAAATTGTGGAATCATCAAGTTAATAATTTCCCAACATAATTAAAGGTTACAAATTTATATTTTCCCGTAAAAAACGACGGGAATCAAAGAAAATAGCTAGAGAAAAAGGGGATGAATTCTGAAATAAAAGAATTACCGGCAACAAAGATGACTTTGACGGAAACCTCGATTGCCTTTGACCTGATACGTTGAAGAAACCATAGATGTTAGCTCAAGTTTTTAACTTTATTAAAAAAAAACAAAAAAAAACCCAGATAGATAAAGATGGTAATTACAAATAATTGCAGGGGAAGGTTGAAAAGCAACTTCCATGGAGATTCAAAGAACGGATTTTTGGAGAGTTTGATCTTTCTTTTCTTCAGTGAATTTTTGCGGGTTAGGGTTTGTACTCTGGGGAGCACATGAGTCATGCAGGACTGAGAAATTCAAGGCATATCGCTTATCCTGTTACTTAATTCGTTGGATGTATCGGAGTTCGGATGTTTTGTGTTTGTGAGAGGGTGAGACCGCCAATGACACCACACGCGTTCTTTTTTTATCTCTTTAGCTCATTTGGTAATAACTATGTTCCATGAGAATTTTTGGTCGGGCTGCTGAGGGCTGATTACGAAAACTTCGACTATGATTGGGCTAGGTGCGGATGGCCGGACCACATGATTGTTTGATTTTAAATATAAAAACATCTAACCCAATCCTAACTCTTGTATTTTTTACCCCATGCCTAAGACAGGTAGTTGGAAGATAGCTTATGTGGTCAAAAAATTAGGATTTAAGCCTATCTGGTAAAGTTTGTTAGGATTTATGTACTAAATTAAAAATTCCGTCAATTTTTTGTTAATTATTAACACGTGAACCGCATATATTATGCTAAAACAAAACTCTCTATACACATATTCGGCTAAAACAGACTTCTCCATTAATTGTTAACATGTGGGGCTAGCTCATAAGGTCACACCTGATGTGTCTCGGCTAGACGGCCATGCAGTTGAGTCATCCAAACCGAAGAATGCCGTCTGTGTTGCTTAGAGTGTGCTTTGAGCAAATTACTAATTCAAATTTATGATCATTGAATCCAGCCATAGATCTCGGTACATGCTATGAGATAATTGATTCTAAATATTTCGTGGTAGATCAAGTTCAAAATCGATATTACACAACAAGACCAATAAAACAAACAGCTGCTAGTATTTTCTTGTGCACGTCAATACACGGTTACAAGAAGAACATGACCTTGAAGGCTTGGAACCTGCAACACCTTATTTGTTCTTAGCTAGTCACATATATAGCGTTACATTAAAAAAAATAAAAAAAAAAGACGAAAAAAAATAACAGAGAACCCCAATCTAAATCTTTTTGTTGGGAGTTGATTGTTAGGGAAGTGAGAAGTAGTAATCTATTTGCGGGGGTGAGTGCTGTCTTGATGGGCGGTTCCGGTGATAACTTTGGCAACGTCTAATGCAGTTGCCTCCGGCTTCTTCTTGCTGTACAAGGTGAAGTAACCGATGGTGACAACTACGGCAAAGCCTCCGATCGCCATTTTCATCGGGCAGAAGGGCGCGTTCTTCGTCTGATGGAGTATCTCCGGTGAATGCTGCGCCGGGGAATGACCCTTCATTTGGTGTGCCATGGCTTCGATTTTCCTCTAGCTTTCGTCTCCCTCGTTCAAACAAAGACTCTGTTGTCCCGGGATTTCTTTGTCTCTCTTCGTTTATCTTCAACTATATCTGTCTGAATGCAATGCTTGTAGGCAGAAGAAAGTGGGAACCTGAAAGAAATAGAATGCACACATGTGTAACAAGATAGGGTGTTTAACCGTTTTTCAAGCAACGGTAATAGGAGTGTTCTATTTGTGTGGTTTTAATTACCCCTTAATCACTTTTTAAGGGTCAACTAATTGACCCTTCCATCAGATTAAAATGAAACATTTCCCTCACCTTTCAACCTTCTTCCCTGAAAGTAGGATAGCCAAGAAAAGGGGTGTTTGCACTTGCACCCCTCTCCTGCGCGCCGTCGGATTTCCGGTAAGGGGACCTATGAGTCATCAAGAGTCAAGACTCGAGGGATCAAAGCACAACAAAACACTAAACTAGACAGAACAATTGATAATTAACCTGCATGGTAGCATAGATGATAGAGGAACACAGCAGCCATATGAGAATCCCAGAAATTTGACCCCAACGGAAGCTGGGAGGCAAATAAAAAACCCCGACAAATATAGAGAAAAAAGCTTCAAGGCCGCTGTATGCAGCAAACCGAGAGAACCAAGACACCGAGCAAGCACACACCAGTAGCAACAAACTGTAAATACAAAGAAACAATCAACCAGAAACAATGCTGCACTGCCGAAAAACTGCAAGATTTGACAAAGGAGGGTTTTAATATCCTCTATCTTTACATAGATTACACATCTACCGGAAAAGAGAACTTATTCGAGCCCATACAAAGAGATCAAAAGCGGTATCAACTAATGTATATAAGAGCTTTGAAGCTTAAATACAAGCTTTTTGTTCAAACCACATGTTAAGACGGTGAATTATTACATTTTGTCAGATTTCCTTCGGTAAAAGTAGAAGGGTGAGCCACTGTATTTTCGTTCGTTTGGGATGAAAAAGCAAAGTAAGATGGTACAAACTAATCATCTGCAAGAAGTTTTCCTTCTTTCGATATTCATCTCATCAAACTACCATTTCAGCTTCTTTAATAGTGGAGGGAATCCCGACATCCAACCTCATGGTTGGTCTGTATTCCTCTGGAACGGCAGCTCCCGCATGAATGCACATTTCGACAACCGCAGGGGCTTGCCCATAGAAGTTCCTGAGCTCCCGCTCCAATGGCGGTCCATTCACATCTGGAACATGCCACACATATCTTGGTGGTATCAAGTCATTGAGCACGGCCGCCTGACAGCCATGCTGCCCATTTCGTTGTTGGTGTTTGAAGGCCCCACAGTTCTGAGCCTTGTGCCCGCTAGGACCGACATGCACCTCAGGGAAATACCCGCAAACCCTCACCAGATACATCTTCATCAGCCTCTTGGCTCCTCTCATCATTTGCTCCCATGCTCGTAGTGTTTCCTCAGCAAGCAAGGTTGTTTCTTCTTCATTAGAGGGGGCTACTACCTCCGAATCCGATATTTCAGCCAAAACTGGTCTCTTGGGTTCTTCACTGTCTGGTAGCTCACTTTCATCTACATCAACAAATTCACTCTTCGAAATTCGGATGATTGGCTTTCTTTTCCTTGTAGTGGGATATTCCGGGACATCAACCCCAGCCTGGATGCAGAGCTCAACTATTGCTGGAACTCTAGGAGTTGAGAATCTCTCTTCATGAGGAATACGTCTTCCAAGTCGATCATAGAGGTGGAAAGCTTCAACCGGCAAGAATATGTCATCAACTGAAACCACAAGCAGCAGCGTTACCTGACGGAGCTGCAGCTGGAGCAGGCGACGGAGAATCCAAACCATACTTTCGCTTTTCAGACAGAACCACCACCGTGAGCTTTAAGCCTTTGTCCCAGTGCTCCTTAACACCACTGATGAAGCAGAATGGTCCTGACTTGTCCAACGTGATCCCCTCCACGTCTGCTTTGATTGGCTTTGAAGTGTCGCAGGTCTCATAGGCTTCCTTTGTCACTTGCACCACGGAGTCCCTCCCTTGCTCCTTTTTCCATTCTGCAGGCACCAAAACAAAAATGTCACACTTACTATCGTTTTATAACTATTTCATTTTCAGTTTTTAATATCATTAAGCAAAAATAAAAGAAAATAAGCAGATTTTAGCATGCAATCAGAGTACATTATTGAGTAAGAACGTTTAAAAGCGTAAAAGTAAGTGACTGACTTAAAGTAGCGCTACATTGATATTTTCATTTTAAGTAGATATGAAAATAAGGGTGATGGAGATTGAAATGTGAGAACTTACTGTGAACATTCTGAATCGTCTATGCCCAGCCCACTGAGTCAAGGCTTTGGCAGAATCAACGTTCCAAGAAATGTCCTCATCTCCGACCAGAATGTGTTTGGCTTCAGACAAAGAAAATTTCTGGAGGAGGCCATTGTTGCTTCTGTTCTATGATTTCTGGAGTGTGATTACATTTCAATCTTGATCATAAAACTGCAATTATGTATTTATGATGAGTTGTATAACTTTTCAATTTTGGATAAAAGTCAAGGGAAGAATCAAGAAACGCTTTTTCAATTTTGGATAAAAATCAAGTGAAGAATCAAGAAACGTCTTTTCAAGCAGACGTAGGTTATGTCAGTTAGTTAAAATGTTTATCAGTCCTTTTGTAGCCAAATACGATTATCTTTTTCTATGAACTCGAATAATTAAGAATATGAAAGGACTTGTCCGGTAAGAAAGTGATACCCTTGGATTGCTTGTTTTACAAGGTAAATGAATCAATGATTTTGTATGCCAATTATGAACAAAAGGCACTAGTACTCCGGTATCTAATAGCCTGGGTCATTCAGTCATTGTATGCATAGTATTTAATTATAATTGGTAAAATTCAATTAACAAGCAAAAATAATGCACAATAAACATTTGAGGAGTACTCTTATATTGCTCGAGTAGTTCATTGGTGGTGTTATGTAATGTAACTTAAATCAGCCTAAAGTTCTTGAGTAGTTAGAAACTTAAAAGGCTCTCGTCCAAACATAACATTATGAAAATCTCTTGTCCAAACATAACACATGATAAGTTTTATACCGCCAAAAAGTCGTCTAGCAAAAATTTAAATCTAACAGTTAAATCGAGCACCAAAGAATTTGGTTTTCTAACCAAAATGGTCATTTAGATTTGCATAACACATTACTTTGGTCCTTGAGATTTGAAATTGACACACCCCGACCGAGATCAGGGCGTGCTGGCCGTCACTCAGAGGTGACGTAACCATGTGCACGTGCGGAAGCTAAGTAAAGTAATATAAAAGTACGAATAAATTAAAAACTAGCATACAAAGTACTAAGACAAGTACTAGCGTACGTGAGACACCAAGTTCAGAGCGAGACTACAACAGTCCAAAGAGAATACTACGACAATAATACACCCGAAGGTGACCCTACATTGGTGAGTATCTGTCAGAAATGCCGGGACGCCCTCTGGGAAGACCACCGCAACTGCTAAGCAACTAGAACCTGGAGGGGCGTAAAACAAAAGCGTGAGTGGGCAAAAACAAAGCTCTTTGAAAACTCTTTAACAAAACATATTCTAACCCCTCGCCGTAAAACCTGTATACATCCCAGAAAGTGAAAGTATATACGTATGTATAGATATGCCAGATGTGTTCCAATATATGCCATTCATGCTCGAGAATATATCACATCAGAATCTCATAATAAACGTAAATATTCAAGCATAACACATTTCAATAACCTATAATCTAGCAGCCGGGAGTCACCTAACGTGACCTGTACGGCAGCCTATAGAGCTCCAATCTCATCTCATTAACTAAATCTGCACACGAGTCGGAACCACCTAATGTGGTCTGTACGACAGGCTAGGTGTAATATATATACGCTCTAGTGCTACGATCACGTGAAGCTGTGCGACGAATCGCGGGTCACCTACGAGTCGGAACCACCTAATGTGGTCTGTACGACAGGCTTTGCACCTGACCTGGATCCAAGCTGAGCGTGTGGTGCGGGAGGTGAACATACACGTGAAGGTTATGCCCTGGCCACGGGCGGGAGCACTGACACCGGGGTGCAGATAATGAGCTCTCTAAACATCTCAAACTATAACTGTATAACAACATGAAACCACTTACCTGGCACTTACCTGCGCGTCCACAGCACCAAATACAAATATATAAATGTATGCCGTTACCAATGCATATGATGATGCATAAACGATAATAATAATATGCATGCCATAAATCAATTAACCTTTTATAATAAATTTCTGGGAATATAAACGTATATAGGTATATACGGAAAACAAAAGCCCACTCACTGATAAGTGGAAGGGTCGTAGCCCCCCTGCCTCGAGTGAATACGCTCGTCCTCGGAGTACGTATCACCTATAAGCGAAAAAGCTACGGAAACGTCAATTTCAAAGCACATAACCAACTCTTCGTAATAATTTCTCATACATTGCTCAAAATGGACAAATGAATATACTAACGTGATCTACACAACCTCACGATCACAACCATATTTTTAAAATAATTTTTGGACCACGCACGCGCCCCCACGCGCCTGATCACGCACGGACCCACGCGCCCCCACGCGCGGTCACGTGCACTGCACACCGACGGAATATTCCGTTGACTGACGGAATATTCCGTTGACTGACGCCGTTAGTCCTATTGGAATATTCCGTTAAAACTTAACGGAATATTCCCCTGTCCTCTCCGGCGAGCCGGCGCCGTCGCCGGAAAACTGGAAAAACTTCAAACTTCGTTTTCTCACTCGTTTTTCAACCATTTTTCACGTTCTTTATACCAAAATGAAGCTTAGGACTAGTAGAATCACGTTAGACTACTTTTAAGGCCTAAAAATCAAGGAATCTCACCTGCAACAACGATCTAAGTTCGGCCAACTTTGGAACTAGGCCTTCCCGACGTCCAAATTCACCCAACGAAGCATTCCCAAGCTCCTTGAGACCTCATTAACACATCTACAAGCTTATAAAGTTCAAAAACATGCTAGATTAAATTTGCATGAATAGTGCTCGAAACGGAGTTCGTCGAATCGACGTGAAAACGTAAGATTCCTCACCTGAAAATGGTATGGTTGTGCTCCTCTCGACTTCACGAGTTCGATGGTGTAATTTGTTTCTTGATTTGTGAAGGTTTGATTGTATGTGTGTGTGTGTGTCCGTGTGTTTGAAGAGAGAAGAAGATGAGGAAGAAGATGAGCTCGGGGAGAGAGAGAGACAAAGAGACAGAAAAGAAGACAGAGATGAGGGATTTGAGGAAAAGGAAAAGGAAGAAATGATGACAGGGTGTGTGTGTGTCTCACACATTCCCACACTACCCGAAACTACACTAAACGTACTTACAACGGACTAGGGGTAAAATGGTAGTTTCACACGTACGTTTTATTTGTTTCGGGACGGGATGTCACAACCTACCCACCTTAATAGAATTTCGTCCCGAAATTCAAAACAACCAAATATAACCCCTAGTAGTCGAAGAACAATCTAGGATATCTATCCCTCATTCGATTTTCTGTCTCCCATGTAGCTTCTTCTACAGAATGATTCCTCCACAAGACTTTCACTAAGTTCACCGTCTTGTTCCTCAGAACCTTCTCTTTCCAATCTAAGATCGTTAATGGTTCCTCGTCATACGTCAAGTCTAGATTAATCTCCAGAGGTTGGGGAGGTATCACATGCGACGGATCAGCAACATAATGTCGGAGCATAGACACGTGGAAAACGTTGTGCACTCTAGCTAGCTCTGGAGGCAACTCCAATCTGTAAGCTACTTCACCAACTCGTTCTGTGACCATGTATGGTCCGATATATCTGGGACTCAACTTCCCCTTCTTTCCAAACCGTACAACACCCTTCCACGGTGAAAGTTTCAGAAATACCCAATCTCCGACTTCATACACTCTGTTCGTAGCATGTCGATCTGCTAAACTTTTCTGCCTGTCCTGAGCTACTTTCAGGTTTGACCTAATTACCTGAATATTCTGAGTAGTCTCCTCAATAATCTCAGGACCTACCAAGGCTCTTTCTCCAACCTCTGACCAACACAACGGTGTACGACAAGCTTTTCCATACAAGGCTTCAAATGGCGCCATACCAATGCTCGAATGGAAACTGTTGTTGTAAGCAAATTCCATCAAATCTAACCGTTGGTGCCAAGCATCACTGAACTCTAGCACCGAAGCTCGCAGCATATCTTCTAAGGTCTGAATAGTCCTCTCTGACTGTCCGTCCGTCTGTGGATGATATGCTGTACTGTAAAGTAGTCTCGTACCCAAAGCTTCTTGAAAAGCTACCCAAAACTTCGATGTAAACCGTGGGTCACGATCCGAGACAATACTCACAGGAACACCATGGTACTTTACAACCTTCGAAATGAATAATTCCGCTAACCGGCTCAAAGAATACTTCTCTCTCACTGGAATAAAATGTGCTGATTTAGTGAGCCGATCAACGATCACCCAAATGCCGTCAAAGCCGTTATGTGTACGCGGGAGCTTGTACACAAAATCCATGGTGATATTTTCCCATTTCCATTCTGGAACAGGAAGCGGCTGCAACAGCCCAAACGGCTTCTTTCTTTCTGCTTTAACCTGCTGACAAACAGCACACCTGCTTACATACTCGGCTATCTCCCTTTTCATACCCGCCCAATAGTAGAATGGTCGAATGGTATGATACATTTTAGTAGCTCCTGGATGCATGGCGTACGCCGAGATATGTGCTTCATCGAGAATTTCCTTCTTCAAATCCCCATCATTAGGCACGAACATTCTTCCCTCCTGCATCAACATGCCATCCGATTCACGTACCATGAGGTCTCTCCTCCTACCTTGTTCTCGAGCTTGAATTAGTTCTTGAATCTCCCGATCAGCTACCTGAGCTTCAAGCACCCGATCAACAAGAATTGGTCTAACTTGAAAATTAGCAAGTAATGCTACCTCTCGATCTTCTGCTTCTAACCTCACTCCTGTAGCACGCAAATCCACCAAAAGAGGAACATGACTCGCATACAACGCATTAATGCGGCCCT